CTCCTAGTTGACTCCTTGGACAGCACATGGACCCATTGTCAGTATGTAACCCAATTAAAAAATTTTATACTCGTTTTTTTCAGACTACTTTACAACAGACAAATAAAAACCTTCAAGATGATGTTATGTCTCTTGAGAAGGAAAATAAAAGCCTAATGAAGAAGATGGAGGCATTGCAACAGGCTATTGTATCTCCTTCAGGTATGTATGTCAGCAGTTTATAAAAAAAAACAGCAATTGTAGACACATTTATGAATATATTGGTTTGCTCAAAGTACCTCTGCTTCAAAATGTGGAGCCTGAGCTGCAAGGGTAATAAGAAATGAGTCATCTTTTTTTCTTTCTCAAACTACAGTAAAGATAGAAAAGAGTTAAAAGAAAGTTATGAAAGTTTTTTCCTGGAACTATCATATAAATCTCTCATGTCTTGCATAAAACTTCAATTTTATCATGAATATCCTCTCATACACATTTAGATATATAGAAAGAGGAAGCAGTTGGGAGAGAGCATTCCATTTGGATGATTAGCTTAAAAATGTTATGGGATGTCAGTATAGAACTACATTTTAGGAAAGGTATGGTCATAATTTTCACTTCTCGTAACATATCCTTATCAAATTGCACTGGTCTCATTGTACTACTGTTACTATTGAAACTTCCTATAGTTTTCTGTTGGGTTTAGGTTGGATTTGAGGCACAGAATAGGCAGGAAAAGACAAGGCTTTTACTTCAAGATGTAGTATGATAGGAAAAGTTGTATCTCTTTCCTTTCAGTCAAGCCATTAATTCTCTAGCTTGAATATTTTTTTCCAGAAGAATATGTTTAAATAATATTAAGGGTGCGAGTATATGTTGACCTTTAAGATTCAACAAAGGTTAGTTATGTTCCAAAATCCCTTAGAATTTGTAAATAAGTACAGTGGTTATTGCAAGTACTGTTAAGCAAATTTATGGCTAGGCTATAGATTGACTGTACAAAGAATGAAGGAACCAAAGAGTACATTCATTTTACATCCAATTTTTCTTCTTCACTTTATTATTAGGAGATGTGAAAAATAGTGCATTGCATCGTTTAATAGCAGAGAGCCCAGCACCTGCAGACTTGAAGAGACCTCGTCTGTCCAGTCCTGATGAGGAGGATTTGCTGGTCACACCTGAAGTAAGTGCAGTCTTGAATTCTATTATATTTTTATAGAGAGCAGAATCAGATGAGGCGGATGACAAAAGAGATCAAAAGAGGTTGACCAAAAGAGGTTATCAAGTAAGGCAAGGATGTGTTATATAGATAATAGGCCATAAGTGATAAATGATAATGATGATGATGATAATAATAATAATGATAATGCTTAAAAGTAGAGAAAAAAGGCTACTTGTAACAAAAAGAGTAAATTAAACATTTGATGGTGTAATAAAGATGGCAGTAGCTGCCAAGAGGTGGAGAGATAAAAGTGTAAGATGTCAGTTATGATTTTCAGGTAGTGCGTAAGATGTCACGCTCGGAACAAGTGACCCCACCTAATGAAAGCTGTGATATTGTGGGGAGTCAGGACTCAACAACACCTCCAATGAAAGGCTCACCTTCCAAGTCCAAAGTAAGTAGTATATTTATCAGGAAAAAAAGGCATATATATATATATATATATATATATTATATATATATATATATATATATATATATATATATATATATATATATATATATATATATATATATATATATATATATATATATATATATGTATATATGTATATATGTATATATGTATATATGTATGTATATATATATGTATATATGTATATATGTATATATGTATATATGTATATATGTATATATGTATATATGTATGTATATATGTATATATATATATATATATATATATATATATATATATATATATATATATATATATATATATATATATATATATATATATATATCAGTTTGCACTGTCACAGATAGAGAAAATGAGAAAGTCCTGTTTACTGCTATGATGCCAGAATTGGCATCACTGGATCAAAAGGATTAAGAATTTTAAAATTTTAGTTTTTCCCCTAAATCTTACCAAATTTAAAAATTATTGTTATGGGAAGGTAAATGACTCTTTTTCAAGTTTTAGTTTGAACTTTAGACTACATGGTAATCAAAACAAAAAAAAATATGTGTAAAGTCTATACATATAATCCTTACATTAACATGTCTACTTTATACCACATTTAGAAGTTTCATTTCTTTACAAAGAAACAACTTGGCCCATAGGGTTATGTGGTGTCCACTGTAGTCTTTTGTAAATTTTGTTGCATACACATGGCTCCATGAGTTCTCAGCCTCAAGGAGTCAGTTAGTAAGTCCTAGTGACTGTACCTGATTGCCCTGCTCCTAGAATTTTAGGGATTTTTTTTTAATGCTATTAACCCAGTTGGCATATATGGCAAGAATACATGCCATGCCTAATGTAACACAAGTTATTTATTGCATTTATACATAGATGGCTCTACAAGT